GTATCCACCAATTTCTTTTTTCTACTTGAGAGCTTGATGTATGCTGGATATGTTCGACTGGACATCCTCCTCCCATGGCAATCTCGACCCACTCCTGATCATATGTCAGGGAACTACGATTTGCTCTGCTATAACGATACCAGAGTCTTTGATAAGAGTGTGTTCGTCATGCAAGATATCCTCTACCCATTTGCTATTGAATTCTACATTCTCTCTATAGGAATATTTCTTTATCATTGGTTTAATCTCGTGCCAACTGCAAGTAGGCCTACAAGAACGGCTATTATACTGAGAGGTGATACTTTTGACGAAATAAACTCAGACACTGCCACCAATCACCAGCGTAAGATATGTGGTTGTTTCTCCGCTCTTCCACTTGCTGTCGTTCTGTCGTTGCTAATGATCGGCTCTGCTGCTTTACTTTTATTTCAAAATATTGTTGGTATAGTGATCTACGTATATCACATAGTTCGTCTGATTTATCAGAGTTTGTTAATCATACCAGTTTTGTGGGGTGTCCATTATTTGTCGAATTTTCGTTATGACAGAAAACCATCACTTGACGGAAGTGATATGCTTCTTGTTAGCACCGTAACGGGTGCATTCCTCGTTACTGGCTTCACAACTGTGACATCCTCGACACTACTGCACCATTTTGCCACTTCAGATGACTTCGACAGAGAGGTGACCCAAAACTTTGACGTGACCATTTCCGATTCCGTCTTCTGTTTGATATATGCCGTTATCAACTACATCCAGATTACAATACAAACGTGTTTCTTTGTTTCCGCCCGTCGTCGTGTTCCGCCGAGATGCGAAAGCATAACTTCATACCGACTTCGTGAATGCTTCTTGTACATTGCCGTTTGTAATGCATTCATCTTGGCTACGGATACGTTTATCGCCCTTCATACCTTTTGTGTCGAATCGCCAACGAACGTCTGGTTTTTCGGCGCTCGACATTGGAGCATCCTGGAGAGCGTTCTGTTTCCGGTGGCGGAGCTTTATCACTTCCATTCAGTCCTCTTGTGTAGCGAACTTTATTTGAGTTTTAAGGGTGATTGAACTTTTACATTAAGTTTCGGATCGGTTATTTATTGTCGTTATTTGCATGTATATTTAGGCCTAGGTACATTTGTAACGATATCTAATTTGAGACAAAAAATACCGTAGTTCAATTTTTTGTATAAAAATGTCAACATCCATATAGACCATAGAACACGTATCCACGTAGTCCTACAATATTTCATAGTTCAAATTGGAATCATTGTACATAAACGTATTAAACACAGTGGCTTCCTCCTCCAATTACTAGGGTCAATCACGCCTCAATACATTCATGTAATAATAAAAGCAGAAGGCCTATTAGGCTATACCTAAGCATCTTTATAATCACGTTGCAGCACCGCTAATTAACATACTGCATCGCTACTGGCCGACTAGTGCTGTCTGGTACGAGTTTCATAGGACGTAAGAATGACAAAATACTCTGTGTCTAGTGCAATCGATCCTCCCGTCCTATACGTATTGTCTTGTTGATAAGGCCTGTAACATCAAAACAGATCCACCTGCAGATATTGGGATTTTTTTCTAGTGAATATTTAGTTTATTTTGTCATTCTGATCGTATTTTCTCTACTGTTCCGTT